GCTAATGTTGTCTTCTTTTTCCTTTCACTTTCGTGTCCGTTTGTTCATCATCTTTAACGACGTTTTAGAGAGATTTTAGCTCCTCAATATAACCCGAACAGCAATTTGGGTTACAATCGATTTTTTCCTTTGCGAAGAATTTTGTGATATTTTTTTTTAGTATTGATTTGTCTTTGTAAATGCACAGATTGAATACTGAGTCTAGTGTAGTTGCTCGTAAGAACCACACTGGCAAGATTATAGCTTCCGGTAAGGTAGGTAGAGTTGTCTCCCCTCGCCTAGAGACTTGCCCTTATGGAAGACAAAAGCGAAAGGATGCAAATACCCCTCCAACAAGAAGAACACACTCTTCTTCAGCCCTATCAGCTCCACGACATGCCCGTTTTGCCGATCAAAGTGAAAACTCTTCTGGCAGCACTTTGATTCCATGGCGAAAGTCTCCTGAGTATTCTCTTGTGGAAAACTTGAAACAACAAATAGCGTGCTTAGAAGCTCAGGTATTATGTCTGAAACGTCAAAAACAGTATCCAGATCCGCATTGTTCTTCCTCTTTGATAACAACTCTCAAGAAAGTGAAGGCCACTAAGGACACTAAGAACTCAGTTAATGACCTTCTACCTTGTCACTATGAGCCTCTCCTTGTGGAATCGCATCCCTTGAATAATGCTTCAGAGCGGGATCAAACTGAGTTGTTCACGCTTCAGTTTAATCTACGCCGGGTCATGACAGATTGGGAGACACTTCAGGAGATGTTTCTTAATTTGAAACATGAGAAGGAGATCATGGCAACCGAGATCGTGGAGCTGCGTATGGCTCTACGCGAGGTTGAGAACGAAAAGCATTGCGTTGAGAAAAAATTCGAAGCCCTCATGAACGCGTCAGAAGCGGAGCAAAGGAAGCAACGCCTACTTGAAGATCACCAAATGCACATAAAAGGTGACACCCTTACCTCTGCAACCCTGACAAGTGGTTTGACAAATGCTATCCATCAAAGGGACTACTATAAAGTTCAATTTGAGCGTACGAAAAGTAGTGAGGCGCTATTGCATGCACACGTGGGGGCGCTCAAGGATATTGTTGAGGCGAATCGTGTGGCCCAGGCTACTGCTGAGATCCAGCTGTGTGAGGCACTCGACCGCATAGAGGAATTAGAGTCTCGTGATGCACACTGGCGCCGATTGATTTCAGAGCTAGGGAACAATTTCATTAATGTCTCAGCAGTTCTACGGAGCGTTATGGATAGTAGCATTGAAATACGCGAAAGGGTTGAGAAAAAGCTACTCGGAGACCAAGAGCTAGAGAAGGCCATAAAGAAACTTCATATTTTCGAGTCAGAATTGCTAAATGTCATCGCGAATAAAAATGAAAGCGCTCTGAAAAAGTCAACAGATGCGACGTCGGATGAAAAATCTCCTGTGACTGATGCTTGTATAACTGAAGTCCTGACATCACCCCCACAGGCTGCAGTCCCACCCCCACAGGCTGCAGTCCCACCACCCCCACAGGCTGCAGTCCCACCCCACAGGCTGCAGTCCCACCACCACAGGCTGCAGTCCCACCAACGGTAAGAACCTCAGCTTCTACAACAACACTTCCATTGGAAACGAAACTAAAAGCCTTAGAAGAAAAGATACATTCAGAAGAAGCAGCACTTTCCTTGTTTTTAGAATCAAAGGGTGTTTCAATCGCTAAGTAATTTAGCTGTATTATACTAGAACGAGTTTGAATGATTTATCACGAGACGATATAGAGATATACATCTGTAACCGACATTGCAGTGTATATAGCCGTAGAAAAGATATATTTTAATTTTTTGCCCGACTGTTTTATCCGGGTTTTCAGGGCTGAGACTTATAGTTGAAATCTATGCCTTATAAATCTTCTTATTTATTTCTCTTGGTATCTTAGATGGTCCTTTTGACTCCCTTGTTTATTTTAGAACCAATAAATAGTGCTCAGGCTGTAATGCTGCTTTAACCCTGTTTGATTCACGCTTTCTTCTTCCATTAGTGTGAGGAAATTAGGGCCTTTGTTAGAGCTGTGTTTGTTTAAATTTATACTTTATAGTCATCTTGTGAGGGAAACCGAAAGAGTAGTATTGAAAGCCATTCATGGATTCTTGCATAACAGAGCCAAATGCAAACGTTGACCATAGTTCCATTGTGTTGCTGAACGGTTCAGTGGTTTTTTCACATTGTCCTTCCAATACCGTTGCTGAAACACAGTGGGATGTTTCAGGGTCTACATGGGCGTACGGGGCGGCGAACAACACGTGTTTTATGTTACTTTATACGATGTTCAGCTGGCTGCGGCAGTGGTGGTCACGCATCTTTCTGTATTGTTCTCGACGGATGGGTCTAACACCACTAGGAGAGCAGGGGCAGGCCCTCCTGGGGGAGGATATGAGTCAGGCTGACCCCAGTGATGAGTCGGATGGGTCTAGAATATCTTCACAAATGGCCGGTCTTTTTGTTGAGAAGAGACGGGATAATCAACCCAAGCGGATACAAGCTGTAAAAGTGTTTTCTTCTCAGCGCGGCTACGCTCCACCGCGATCCGGTTCCAAGAAAAACATTAGTAGGCGTACGGACACACCAAGCTTGTCGCAAGGTCATGCAGCTTCAGCAGAGGATGGAAGCGAGAGCAGGAGGGTGCATTCAGATGAAGAAAGTTCGACTAGCTCGCATTTGCACAGCGGCGTAGTTTCCAAAGAACGTTGGATTATGCAGCATGGTGTTCTCGTGAGTGTCGGCCCCGATGGACCCCTCAACGAAGTCACTGATTCCATGGTACAGCGCTTGATAGGCGCTGGTGGTGCGTATGTCCAGCAAGACCGTGGAGAACAGCGGATAGCGAGCCAAGGTGTTTATGTGGATGTAAGTGAAACGAACTCTGCTGCTCGAGCACCGCCTCAAATAGATGTTGCAACGGTCCTGGATAAACTTGAGGCTCATCGTCATCCTATTTATACTCTCGAACAACTTGTAGACTTTCTAACGCGTTGTGCAGATTTTCTACCCTTACGTATAGAGGTGGAGCGTGAGGGCACATCACCTCCACAAGACCCCGTAAGGAGTATGGAAAGAGGCATGACTCCTACGTTGGAGTATGGGTTGCACTTCCTAGGACCTTTGCAGCCCAACCCATACACAGCCGTCTTAAGCGTCCTGGAGGATGTCATCATGGACGACTGTGACAGCAATGCACTGCGTCTTGTCAGCATTCACTGTTCAGATTTATGTTTTTCTAGTCATTTATCTGTCTTTGAGGAGAACTCAGAGGGGAAGGGCTCACTTGGCGTCACAGGTGGTAGAACTTTATCTCAGGTTGATTGGCCGGCCAAGTCTGATTTGGATGACATGATGTCGCCCCAGTACCCACCTCAGCAACATCAGCAGCCAGCCTGCCCGTTGAACGTTGTCGATGGCGAGGGTGGCGGTTACCAGTTGGCCAAGTCCTCGCAGCTGTGGCTTAGCGGGTTCCCATCGACACCACCGGTCTTGCAGGATTCTCTAGAGTTGTTAAAGGAATCCCACATGCGTTTGCTGGGAATTTTAAAAAATGTGATGGATAATATGACCAACACCATCCACTCAGTTTTGTTCACTCGCTGCATGTTTGCCCCTATAGACATTGGGCAATCGCTTCCCCTAACGCTCTCTCCGCTTGTGCAGCTTATCTTTGAACAGTGTCCGCTTTCTCCAGCTCACATAGACGCACTACTGCAGTTGGCTCGGAGCGAAACTAGACGTCAGACTTCTCCGGTTTTTTCTGGTGTGCATCCTCCACCAGCCTTTTCGCGACTTGCAGAGCTGCAGCTTAGCGGCACCCTCACCGAGGAATGCATCTCAGAGCTGCTGAGTTTTTTTTGGGATGAGGTGGTTGATGAAAAAGGCACCGTGCTACGTGTGCTTCGTTTGCCAAGTCTACTTCTTCGGTCCGCCAAAAGTCATCCTTTCATTCAGGCACATCCCTATGTGCAAGTACTTCCACTGCCTTGACATGATGCGGTTTTCACTCGTATTTTCAAATTTTTTATCTTGCTTTTTTTTTTTCTAAATGCGCGTTCACTCCTTAGCGTGTTTGTTATGTCCCTAATCCTTAAAGCAGTTAACAAACTGAGTTCCCGTTTTTACACTTGTGAGACACCCACAAGTGTAAAAAAAACTGCCAACGTCCCGAATTTGACGTCTGTACAGGTATACATGAAGTTCAAAGCTGTCTTTGGCACACCTTTAGGTCATATTAACGAAACCATGTTTAATAAAATGTGTTTCTGTATGATTTTCACATGTCATGCTTCCTGATTAGTGTCCACTTTTTTGCGGATGCGAAACTTGCTGTGCTTATTATGTTTATTTTTTTCCTATTTAGTGAAATTCATTTTGACTGTTGTACTTTGTATGGTTCACGCATCTCTTTTTAGTATGTGCTTGTACTCATATGTTTCTTTTCACTCCCTGTTCAACGTCCTCCCACACTCTAAATTTCTCATTTCAGGTAGTTAAGAACACAAATACGTACGTAAAGGATTAAGGACCAGCTTTTGCAAATGTTTGACGGTCTAGGTCTTGAGAGCGAAGAGCGTGATATGCAGAGGCATCGTCTCGGCCGTCGCCATATCCCTCACGGTGGAGCTCAAAGAAGTGATGTCTTACTTCAGTACGAAGCACCAAACACCACTGACTCCGCTAAGGTCAACTCGAAGCCACAGGATTCGACCTCAAGTGCGGTGTTAGCGGCGGCACCTCCCGTCCAGGGCGTCCACAAACCGAAAGATAGTCTCAATCTATTCTCATGGGAGCCGCACAGTGACGTTCCAAAATTTCGATCCGGGAAGGGTCGCGCTACCGCCACTGAGGAGGTATCCCTAAAAACAATGCATGATCGCGGTCCTATCCTAAGGGAGACCGACGAGCAGATCCGCAACAAGGAATCGCAGAAATTTTCCATGTGTACAGGCGGTCGCTTTCTTGGATTTGAAAGTGACAAACCTTGCCCACCGAGGAGGCACCCAATTGATCAACCGATTCAGAATGCGCCAAGATATGGTGTGTCTAATACTCAGAACAATAACGATAAGATTGTTCGTGAGCGGGGTGGCAAGAAACCATACCAACAGTCTGGCGACTTTGGTGGACCTAATCCATCTGATGAAGTAGATGGTTTTCCTGGGCTGAGTCCTCAACGTACAAAGAGGACAGGCCGTCGTGTTTTTTGATGATTCGTTTGCTGATCCTTTCTTTATGTGTCATATATAAATCTTCTAGCGAGATGCTGGAGGCTGGAAGTAAATGCTTGTGGAAAAAGTAAAAAGAATTTTGTGATGTTTACCTGCAAATAAAGCCTAAGCATCCTATTTGTAAAAAAAAAGCGCATAAAGTAGGTAGGGAAACTTTTTTCTCTACTGGCTAAGGACTCGCTTCGTATAATTACAAATTGACAATTGGCATCACCTTTCTTTCCTAGTTTATTATGCATACCCATGAGTAGACTATGGGAAAGGGTACCGTCATTTGATACTCAAGAGCAGGGTACTGAAGAAAAAAAATAGAAGTGTACCTAGTAAAGCAACTGCTGAACTTGTGCTTTTTACTACTTTTTACTATCGACGTTATATTTTCTACTCTAATTGCTTTAAGTTTCGTCCCAAGATGTTTTATTTGCTAGAAAATCTCAACGTCATTTACTAATCCAATTACTTTTTCCAATGGAGAATAGACACGAAAGTAATAGATATATATCATGTTTTAGTGAGAATAAAGGATCTTTATAATAGGATATTTGTTTGATGGAAAAATAATAGCCCTATACGTCCAATATGCTTTGTCTGTTTAGCCTTCAGATCAGGTGTTACGCTTTTCCTATCTATGTTTCTAGAAGAATACAGTTTTGGTTTCCTTGTGCGGAGCAATATTGATGTGTTTTTGTTGTGTAGTATCTTCACTTTCCCCTTCGATGATGCTTACACATTTCTATTTCAACCAAATATTCATTACAACTAGACCAAGGATATTCACAAAATATAGACACGCTTGTATTTGTGCATAGGTGCCTGTTTACAATGATTTTAAATCCTTCGTTGTAAAGATTGCAACTGGACGTATTTATCCTTCTAACAAGAGTGCAGTATTGCTTTCTTTTCATCATTTTAATATTTGCATAGAATTTCTGTTGGTTGTAATCAAAAACCACAGTTGAAGACCTTTCCTGGGTGTGTGCATGCAAACCTGCCTCCCCTGCTTACAGTTGCATTCATGTAGCTCGTTTATTAGCACGGCGAGGCCTTCGTTCATCGCCGGTGGTTTAGCTATGCGACGTGTACGAAGATTACAATCCTTAGCATGGCTTTACGAAGTCCCTTGGTCATTGGATGGTCGCTTTAATTCTTCTCTTTACACCCTACAAGTGGGGCGGCGCCTGAGGGGGGATGCCCCGGTAATTCACCCATCCTGTCCTCCATTAACGCTTTCCGACGTCCAAACCTCGAACGGGTTGGATAATTCTCCAGACCTACCCACTCATTCTAGGCAACAAATGATGAATAGGCTTCCCTCTTCCCCCATCGTAGGCTTGCCGGAATTATCAGAGCTTCCGCGGCCGATCACCAATTCTCTCCCCGCTACCGCTTCAAGGGGTTCAAACCTCGAGGAATTCAATGGTTTGTGGGGTATCGAAGAGGTCCTTTTCGGACTTAGCGATCGCCACACCGGGGCGGTTACGTGTTTATTACCTCAGGAACGCGTCGCGGCGCCGCGGATGACGCTATTCCCGGAATGGGCGAAGCGGGTGTTTTTTGAGGAGAGCCAATGGCTGGAGCGGTTTGATCGGCTGTGGGAGAGGGGGCGGTGTGAGGAAAGGACAACCGTTGAGGCCGCCTCCGGAGACTCCGCGCCGGGCGGTGTTTCCCATGCCGTAGACTCTCCAAGTGAGGGAGATAACCCACCCTCTGCCAAGTTGGTTTCCACGCCGCCATTGTTATCATCACCGAGTAAGGTTGCCATGAATAATCTGAAAGATAGCAGTGAGGTATGGGATGGCGGAACTTTCGTCTCTTCGATCTCAAACCCCTCGTTTCCTCCGCTCTACGCGGATGTTTTAGGTCGCCCGAAGATTGTGCGTTGCTTACTCTACAACTTCCTTGCCAACCCAACCTACTGGCGGGATGCGGTCGATGAGCTTCTCCAGCTCGCGGAGGAAAAGGTGTGGAGCCTCGGCATCGGATCGACCGACGGCCATACGGACTTTAAGGCGAGTCAGTGGAGTTTAGAGCATCTATTGCGGCCGATGGAATCTGTTGTGTTTTACTCGCCCGGCTTGCGTGAAGTGTTATGGCGGGTGCTCGATATGAGCCCCGAGTCCTTCATTGGTCCGGTTGCCATGTGGTTTGCTTTTGTTGTTGCTCACCGGCAGGATGCCGCGCTTCTGCGCTCGCCGCACCAGCCTCCGTTTAGTTTTTCGGAGGTGAATCCAACGCTAACGCCTCATGATTTCGATTACCGCCGGTTTGGATCTGTAAAAACGAATTTGGCTGTGGCCTCCGAGGGCTGCAAAAGGGAGACGACGCCTTGTGGCTCCCCGCGAGGCGGGCCTCTCGACGCGCTGACGGAGGAGGAGTGGAGGGGTATGTCAGAAACACAACAAATCGAGTTGTTGTTTGGTAAGGATGCGGTTTCAGAGCTTGCGACTGCGACAACGGCGGTTCTGAAGGGAAATTCCTCAGAGGGTGGCGATATTTTCGTTTTTAATCCGTCTTCAACACGTTCACGCCTAAGTGGTGATAGTGATAATGGCTCAGATTCTGAAAATACCTCTGATTTGTTAGACCAACCACCAAGCCCAGAGTCCGGGGTGGATTTCACCTACATAGATCCAGAAAAGGAAGCTATGCTTGAGCAGATGCGACATGAGATGCAGCGCTTGTATGCCTACGAGCTGGATCATTTTTTGTTAGGGATTGTAGAGTGTACGTATGATTCCATGATGAAGACACCGTGCGTGGACCTCCCACCAAGCTTACAAACATTTAGTGAAGAGAAACGGAAGCAGACTGCAATGCCTCGTCCTCGTAAAGACAACGTTCTACGCGACAGCTACTACGCAAATGGCCTGTTTCGTAACGCCCGAAGTGGAGAAATTGAGGATGTTCATCTGGCCCAATTATGGAAGGCATTTCAAGACGAAGATACCGGTATGCTGCTCGATCATTGGGTGCATGTTCGTAGAAGACTGCACGTAGTACAACGTGAGCTTCGTGCCGAGCTAGCGATTCAGGCGGCGTTTAAGCTTCTTTTTTTTTCGAGAGACGAAGTAAGGGCGGTGACGAACCCGAAGGACTCATATCATCGTCTGTGGAGACTGCATCAGGAGCTGGTGGAGCTATTGACACCCGCTGGTACAAAAGTCGCACATAAGTTAGTATCAAGTCCAGTTAAATCGCCGTTGCCCGATGCCACGCCAGTCGCGCACTCGATGGAATACCTTCGGGTACAGTTTCCATCATTTGAATCGCTTCCTCTAGATCAGAAAGTCTCCTACACATGCTTTGGGCGCGACCATCTCCTAAATGTAAAAGACAACGATACATTACACAATGCCATGCAATGCAGCAAAGACAATATAGAAAAGGTAGAACCCTTTGCTTTGTTTTGTGGCTATTGCCAAGCCATGCACCCAGCGCATGAAACATTCCTTCTCAGCAATGATGGTGCGCTCCAACGCATTTCCATACGTTATCTAACATTGGACCAGATGCAGATCGCTTATCAATCCCTGACGCCATTACAAAAGTCTGCTATTCTCTACTGTTTCCCAGGGTTATTGGAGAATGAGGATGCAGGCGAGAAATTACCATACGCCCCAAGAATATCAAACACTGAGGTTAATCTTTCCAAAGGGAAGGAAATCTCACGCGAGGAAGCCTGTGCTCCAAAGCGCAATGAAATTGAGCCTATTACGTCAGTGGAATGCAATGAGGGAATCAGTTGCGAGGTCGAACTCTCTGAAAGCTGTGGTAGTAGAAAAAAAAGTGAGATGCATGCCGAACAGCTGAATGTGCAGCACGATTTCCTAGAGTCTATGCCTACATCCAAGGTTAAAGACGTGCAAAAGGGTATGGAGGGGCCAGCGTACAGTCCTAAAGCGTCATTTTTAAAGGAGGGCTCTATTAACATGAATCAAAAAAACATGAACGGTGAAAACACGTGTATCTCTAAGCACTCTACCTCCATAACACCGTCATTTCTGACAGACGCTGTTACCGCGCTGGCTAACAGTCTCAACAAAGCCGGCTTGGGAGATCAACTACAGCAAGTAGCAAACGTTCTTGTGCAGCTTATCATAAAGGAAATGGATGCAAATGCACGCAAGGTCGTTAAGCACCGCATGTGTTCTCGGAAGAAGGGCAGTAAGGATTCCCCTCCCTCGCGAGTGCAAAAGCGGGGAAAATCTAGAAAGAATCAATCGTCAAAGGATCACTGAGGATGCCCTAACGATAGCTGTCGTGATGCACGGGGTAAAACAAAGAGGATGTGGATTTTCCTTCTTCTGCACTTGAGGTATGAATCTCACCATCGGATGGGGTACCAATGTTATCTGATGATTCTGACGGTATGTCTCAAGGCCTTTACCTATAAAGTTTAAATGCAGTGAAGTCTCAACGCGCGCTAAATAAAAAATACACAAGTAGAAGTGATCTTATGTGGAATAAAAAAATCCTGAGTTTCTCCACACAACCGAAAAGCTGAACCTGTGTGAAAAAGTCGAGGCTGAAAGGGTCCGCTCTTAATTAAGGGTTCTAGGTAGAATTATAAAGTGTCTGTACAAGAGAACTTTTTGCCAGTAACTACTCAAGGTGATATTAATGGGACATAATTAGAAAGATTGATAATGGTATCGTGCCAAAAAGCTCACACTGGGTGTTGCGTCTCTTCTAAAAAAACATGTGTTCATTCTCCCTTCAAAAAAGCAAAATATGTTTTTTAGTACTTCTTACTCTATTATGCGTATGGTATATGAACTTTTTTCCTTGATACCGGTTTCTTTTGCATACGTAGGTTAAGATTTCAGGCTGGTGTTTGAAGGCTTTAGGAATTTTCCATTTTTGTTGTTGACTAAATTACTTTCTAAAGAGTAAAATCTGTATTTCATCGTTTTTTCTAATTTCGATAAATACACCCAGCTTTATTAGAAGCGGTCTTTACTCTTCATGCCTTTCGAAGGTGAAATATTAACCCTGTCAGGGAAGGATAACAAGTATCTTGCATTTTAAACAGAGTAGTTTATACACATCGCTGTTCCTTGCTATTGGTTTTTTTATCCACTATTTTGTCTCATTTCACACAAATCCGATCTGACCAGCGGAGGCCTTAGACTGAAAATAAGACGGAGGCCCATTATCGCATATTTTTCCGGACAGTAAAATTGACTTTCGAGCTCAATCAAGTGTACAACAAAGCTGATTCGATCTATTTCAGCACACATGAGAAGTATCAAGGGCATGCGATATGGGAGCTTGCCTCTTTTTCGTTTGCTCCAGCGGCCACTTCCATTTTCTGCACCAAGTCTCCTTCCATCGGGAGTGAACCTCCTTTATTCGTGCCGGACAGTTGCCGAATACCCCTCTCCTGGGCGTCGTAGCATGGCCAAAGAGTCTAGAAAAACCTACAACTACCTCACTGCGGAGCGCCTCGTGCCTGTAAAAACCGTCAGGTTGCCTAGGGATGTCCTCCGGCTACGCGACGACAAAACCATCACGATACGCAGAGATTACAAGCAAAAACTCCTACAGGACATCGATGCAAAAGTTCACTACCTGAATCCAGAAATTAAAAAGTTTGTATTTTTCACTCCTATTCGGAATCGAGAGAACATCAAGCGCCTGTTCCGGGGAAACCGCGCTTTCCCACCGCGCACCTTCACTCGGATTTACTTGGATATACTGAAAAAGATAACGAGTGGTGCCCGTCGCGATGAGCTGATCAAGTTGATGCAGGAGGCCGGGATCTCACCACTTCCATCAGATGATGTGTGGCGTCGCTATACCGATCCCAAAACTGGCGATATTAGCATTGGTTTGCGTTACTCTTCATATATGGAGCGGTATTTAGTACGTATATGTGAAAAGTTCGACCCCGGCTGTATGCCCAATGCCAGAAGGATGTCCCCAATTCAGGCTTATATACTTGCAAATTTTTCAGATTCCTCGAAAGTTCCGTCTCTTGAGCAGTGGGGAAACAACCTTGGAGCCATTAAGGAAGAGGAACTTATTCTTAGCGCTCGTACGATGGATCCCTTGTCCATTGTAATGGAGCAGGCCTCTCATGAGATCAAATCTTACGGGAGGGAGCAAATAGAGCCAGTAGTCTCGAGTATGACTTTGGAAGAGCAGGAACACATGCTTCGAGACGTCGCTGAACGTGGAAAGGAGCTCTACGAGAAGATGTGTAGACATTTATTATTTGCAGCTCAAGTATTGCTGGCGGTGAACTCGCTTCCAGAGATCAAAGCAATCCAAAAGCCATCTCAGGTGTTTTTTTTCGAAAAACGGTTACTTCATGTGATGAAGCAAAATGGTTCGTGGTTCCCTGACATAACCAAGGAATTCCAGGAATACAAGATGCTCTCGCCCGAAGAGCAAAAACGGTACTATTGTTTTAACTCACGCATAGGGAGGCGTACCCAAAGCGGTTTACAGCTGTACGTTCGCTACTGCACCCGCGACTACGGCATTGGACGCTCAGAAGCGGCTCACCGTTTTTTCTACCTCTCCGACCTCCAGCATGCGGCGTTAAACTTCCCATTCTACTACCCTATTACCCCTGGAAACGCTAGTGTCATGGCTTTTCGCAAGTTTTACATAGATATGTGTATTCGGTATGGATTTTCTCATAAACTTAACCATAACTCTCTGGGAAACCGCCTCCTTGAGGGCGCCATGCGAAAGAAATGGAAACTGCTTGATCCATCGGAGAGGAAGAAGTACTATGAACCAGATGTCGTAGGACCAACATTTCCACTGCAGCCGTTATCCTTGGATGGGCTGAACGGGGCCGTGTCGTCTGAGGCGGGTTCCAGGGAACCCGAAGTGTCTCCTCAAGATGCCGGGATGATTTCCTCGGAGGGGTCTGCCGATACGATGGATGCGATGAAATCCATTCTATCCTCTAAGGATCACCCTCCCCCACCTTTAACAGAAGAATCACAGGAAGGGTCTCATCCATCGCGTCCAGCTGTTTGGATTGAGGAGAATAGGCAGCACCAGGCATCAGATTCCTCTTTCTCCGTGCGCGTAGGCAGACAAAAAGCGGATACTCCGCAGAAGGTTAAGACGACGGAAGTTAGCATTCCCGTATCGGATCCATATGGAATTGGTGAAAAACACGCAAGGGTATCGGTAATGGTTGTGTAAGCGTACTCTCTCTTATCTCGAGCTTTGTACACTTTATATATTTATTTCCCTTTTGTGCATTGTTAGGGCAGATCGAACTTTTCACGATGATTTTTGTGTTTCTTTCGCTATGCCATTGTTTTTCCGTGTATTAATATAACTAAATGTCAATTTCGAAAATATAATCAATGCCATTTTTAAATCATCTCATGGTCTTCTTTTCTGATGGTTGGAGCTGTGCCTGAGGGTGTCTGCTCTAAACTACTTTTGTTTCCTCCGTCACTGTCTCACATGAAGAATATTTCTTTATAGTATTGATATATTGAAATTATTTAATCTTAAGAAAACCAAGGCGGTTGTACTTTTCAATTTATTCTTTCTTTTGATTACTTGTTCCCGATTAAAGGGTATTTCACACGCGTTATTGATCAGGGTTGTAGAATCAGCGTAGCGGATGCCCTTCGTGAATTGAGTAATTTCCATTTTTGCTACTGTTTTTTTCATTTAGTTTTTCATCCCTATTTTCTTTCAAGTGAGAAGATCAATGTTCGAGGAAGTGCATACCAGAGAGAACATTGGCCTTCCTTCGGATAAAATCCGGAAAGCTTTAATAGAGCAAAAGAAGTTCAATTGCACGCTGAAGTGCGCCTATCGCAGCGTCGTAAGACATTGGCCGAACGAACATGCATGGCAAGATGAAATCAGAGCCAAAATGAACCTGCCATGTGTGATGGCCTTTTGCTTTCCTTCTGAACAAAAGAGCTATACGTCCGAGATTTTAGCGAACTTTTATCCGCCCCAAGGAAGTTATCCTTTCTTCGCTTCAAAGTACAACAAGGTGGATAGCGGCGATCGGATGCATCATACCTGGGGGCAAGTCAAGGAACTCTGCAATACGCGGCGGGTCTATTGGATCTTCGTGCCGTTCTCCTTGACCATTTCCCGAAACGCCATGATCTACGAGATGTTGTATCATCACGTGGTGGTCGAGGAAGGGATTCGCGAGATCATCGGCTTTAATGCCGCACTGGATGATGTGCAGCCGTTGTTGGATTACTTTTCGGCTCGCAATGCGGGGCTCCGCGCGGAGGTGTTGGCGCCCTCCATTCTGACCGATTCGGAGGGCAGTTCCGCGGGGCAGGCGGATTTCATTACGCAGTGGCCTTTATACCTGCGGGAGGAGTTACAGGATGAGTGGATTTCCAGCTATCTGGTCGTGGAGTCGGCCCGGGAGAAGGCCCTGAGCCCCCTCCCTCTCCCCCGGCCGAGCCTCTTTGGGAACGACCCCGCCACCTCCGTTTCGCTGCGAAAGAACAAGGCGAGCGTGCAGCAAGCCTTACGAGCCCGTGGGTTGAATTACATCCGTAGCGTGGAGGCGTGGTCGGCGAATGAGGCTGGGGTGCGTTGGGGGGGTTCGATTCCTTTCCCGGTGGTGGTAAAACCCGCGTGTGGGTCCGGCTCCGCCCTTGTCACCCTCTGCCACACCGTCGAGGAGCTGCGGGATGCGTTTCGGGTGTGGGAGGTGCAACGGGTGACCTCGACCGCCTCCCCGGCGATCCCGATGGTCGTCGAGGAGTACATCGACGGGGAGGAGTACGTCTTTGATACCGTGGGGTTTGAAGGGCGCCATATCGTGACGGATATGTGGCGGAGCTGGAAGTACCCGAAGAAACTTCTGAGCACGCGGCTCGAGACGAATGTGGAGCAGGAGATCCTACGGATGGCCTCCGACGACCCGACGATCCTACCTCCGCTGAAGCTGGAGACGTTTTCATTGTTGTACGATCGTTTGGAGTTCGTTCACGATCTGGCGGAGCTCCCGCCGGATGGAGATGAGCGGCGGGTGGTGGATTATGCCCTACGGTGCATCGATGTGCTCGGCATGCGGAATGGCTGCACTCATTGCGAGCTTCGCATTGACCGGCGAGAATCCTCCCCTAATTATGGAAAGCCTGTTCTTATTGAACTCAACCCAAGAATGCAAGGCGACGTCCCACGATCGACCGAGCTCGTTGGTTATGATCAATTTACCTTGCTTCTGTACTTGTCTGCGGTCGCGGCGGCCCTCCTTAGCACTACTGAAAAGGAATCGGATGGGAAAGAGAGCACCAGTCCTGACTTTCGGAGGAGACGCAATTCAAATAAAGTGCCGTGTTCGCTGCCATGGCCGCCTGCCCCACAGCTCTACCGATCCTTGGTTGAGAAATCAAGCAACCCGTCGGAGCGCATCACGCGACACGTGGTTTTCTTTTGTGCGGAGCAGCATAGTATTCTGTTTGACCTAGGCGTTGCTAAGGTGAAAGGCCTGCGAACGTACCTTCGCCATGCACGGGGAAACTTGTTCTCTTTCCTGAATGTATGGCAGGCGGTGTACGTTTCCCAAACCGTGGACCTCTTGTCCTCCCCTGGTGCCTGCGTGTTACAAGGTACGGAGGAGGAAATTAGGAAGGATACTGAAATCATTCGTCGAATGGAACAAGCCACCATTCCCAGTAGCATCAAATGCCTATCCCGTCAACTCATCACAAATATCAAGGCGGCCCAAGCCATGAGTTTACAACTGTATCTCCACGGGAGAAACCGGTTAGGAGACGACCAGTTGCTGGGTGTAACCAAACCGGTCGGTATGAGATTTGCTGACGATAAAATGACAACCCCTAAAATTGAGATCGAATTAAGCGATATGAGGGGTGAGTATGGTAAATCCCCTTGCACTTGCCAAAGCCAATTATATCAATTGAACGCTGAAAACGAACGATTGCACGCAGATTGGGAAAATGCATTGCGACAGATGCCGTATCCACCTTTATTCATTTCAGAGGAGGACTTTTCTTTTATTCAGGCGGTTAGGTCGAGCTGGAACACGATGATTCAGTATAGCGGAGAACTGAATACTCAAATATTGAATTGCTCAGCTTTGACTGCATCAGAGAAAGAATCCAGCGTAATAGAGGTTGCAAAGAGATTGAACTATTTTTTCTAAAGAAGTGAAGAACTGTTAGTATGTAAACTAAGAATAAGACTCACTTGTGTTTTCTTTGCCTTTTTCTGTAAGGACTAGAAGGCCTATTCCTTTTTACCCAGTCCACGTGAAGGAGCGTGCTCAAGCATCATTGATCGAATCTCAAAGTACTCAACTTGATGATTTAGAAATAGGAGAGGGTGTTAGGGTTTATAAGATCATTAATACCTCACTTTTTTTTATTTCTATATATTTTTGTGGCACTTTTCCTGTTATCAATCATTTGAGTACGGCACACTAGGAAGGAAGCGCGGTGCGTGTGCATGTGCACTCATCGAAACCCGTGTTTCCCATACAATGTTTGATTTTTTTAATTGCTGCTTTTTTTAGCAATGGTTCCAGCTTATGAACTACTTATAGGGTTCCTGTAGGAGGCACAAGAAGCGATCCACTCAAATATCGGATTGGATGTCTCTTCTTGAATAATAAAACCATTGTACGTTTTTTTTCCCACTCCCCTCCGCAATAATCAATCTTTTTTGGATGTCGGAAAGCCGCAACGTGCGAGGTAACCTTTTAAATATCTTAGAAGAATCTGAAATGACTACTCGTGAGAGGGTAGCGTCAGATGGGCGATGCTTTTTCGGCCCAGTGTGCATCGTTGTATGCGGGCCTTCCGGCGTTGGAAAGAGTACTATTGGAAAGAAACTCGCAGAAAGACTCTGTATTGCTTATAAAGAAGGCGACGAGTATCACATGGATGTCTGCATTCATAAAATGCGCGAAGGAATTCCGTTGAACGACGAGGATCGCCGTCCGTGGTTGGAGCGACTACGACGTGAAGTAATATCAGCTAACGAAAGTAAGGGGTGCAGTGTGGTTCTCGCATGTTCGGCGTTGAAAAAGGGTTACCGTGATATATTGTGTGGTAGAAACCAACGAATCAAGGCCGACGGTGATAGTGCTCATGATAGGGGCTCTGTTGTTCCGTCGCTTTCGTTGAAGCCTCATAGAATTTTTTTTGTCATGCTCATCGGAAGCATGGACCTTATTGCACGTAGACTCGCCATGCGAAAGAATCACTTTATGCCCCCTTTGCTGTTGCAGTCGCAGTTTTCGATTTTGGAGCCGTTGCGGCTACATAACGATGGTAAAGCCGATGAAGGTGCAGAAGTAGGCATGATCATTGACCTGAATAGGCTGCGTGATATTGATGCTGTCGTGAATGCCATCGAAGAAAGGATAATGAAGAACTATGGCATTCTGAACTCTAGTTCTAATTTTTCGGGGATGAAAAGAAATCTGTAAAGTTCTTTATGCAAAAGAAAAAAACGGACACGAGATATAAAATTGCACTTGAAAGAGTGTAAACAAAAATAAGGGGAACCCAAAATGAAATGATAGCTATTCCTATGATTGATGGGCTTCAGAAATGCGATGTCAATATTCCCAATTTTTTTTCTTGTTATATAAAAAGTGTTGAACACCCCAGGCAGAGGTGCGCTAATCTAGAGCAAAGTATTTTTGACATAGGAATATCTCTGCATTCGTAAAGCTAAATCCATTTATCTAGGGTTAGCTTTATATATATATATATATATATATATATATATATATATATATATATAGTNTTATTATT